TGGTCGGGAAAAGAGAATAAAATAACATAGAATAAAATGCCTGGGTCATGGACAAGGCCACCACTTCTGCCTTAATAGATGTGGTTAATGAACAATAGAGATGTGAATTTGCCAGAGGGGAGACCGAGGAATAGTGGTGAGATTCTGCGGTGACCACGGGAGGTGGGTGTGGTCAAACAATTGGGGCGTGGCCAGTCTCGTGGAGAGGTGGTACCCAACCAACGCTCCTGCCCAGGCTCGAGGCCCGAACTGGATATTAACTGTCCCGGTCCGGCGGTGTCCGGAGCCGGGTGCCTCAGCTGTGGTCCAGGAGAAGGAGCGGATGTAGGCAAAGGTGAGGAAACGGGATCTGTCTGCGTGAGGACAAACCCGAGCGAACAGGCTCCTGAAACTGGACCAGAGCTGGGGGATGCAGGGCTTGTGGGCTGGGCGGGACCGTAGCAGACAGTGGCGCCTGGGAAGGGGCCCCAGAGGGGTGATTGTGGAATCTGAAACCGCCCTTGTCACAGCCTCCCACCCGCCCGAAATGTGTCGACTGGGGGTCCTGCTGCTGCTGTTCCCCTCAGCCTTGGTGTCCTCTGCCGCCCCGATCCATGATGCTGATTCTCAGGAGAGCTCCTCCGGGTTTCTGGGCCTGCAGAGTCTTCTCCAAAGCTTCAGCCGACTGTTCCTAAAAGTGAGTGATGGCGCCGGGCGTTGGTGGCGCACGCCTTTAATCCCAGCACTCGGGAGGCAGAGGCAGGCGGATCTCTGTGAGTTCGAGGCCAGCCTGGTCTCCAGAGCGAGTTCCAGGACAGCCTCCAAAGCCACAGAGAAACCCTGTCTCGAAAAACAAAAACAAAAACAAAAAAAAGTGAGTGATGGCAGGGTTTGGGGGACAGAGAGATGGGTCAGGCAGGAGGGAAAAGGAGTCAACAGAACAGAGAGGGCTGGCAGGGTCGTGTCTCGGATGGTAAAGTGATTGCTTAGGATGCACACAGCTGGGCTCGATTGCCCAGCACGGGTTACACCAGCCCTCAGGAGGCAGAGGCAGGCGAAAAGGGAATCTAAAAACCACCCTCTCCTACATAGGAAGTTTGAGGCCAGCCTGGGATACGAGACTTTACCTCAAAGAACAGCAAGGTTATAAGACAGTGGCTTGAACAGACAGATGATGGGGGACAGGACGACACAGCATAGGAAGAGAAGCTGGGGCTGGCCAGGGCTGAAAACGCATCATCTCGGGTAGCAGGGCCTGGATGTGGCCATGGCTCACGTGAAATCCCAACATGTGAAAAAAAAAGTTCAAGGTCATCCTAGGCAGCTTTAGTCAAACCCTGTTTCAAAAAATTAAAAGAGCCAGGCCTGGTTACCCATGCACTTAGAGATAAAGTCAGGACAATGTCTGTGAATTCGAGGCCAGCCAGGTCAGCCAGAGCTACAGAGTGAGACCCAGTCAAATTAGATACATGAAAGAGGGCTGAGGCCGGGCAGTGGTGGTGCACACCTTTAATCCCAGCACTCGGGAGGCAGAGGCAGGTGGATCTCTGTGAGTTCGAGGCCGGGCCTCAGAGGTAGAGCCCTCCAGCAGGGTGCATGGGGTGAGAGGTGGAGAGGAGAGGTGGGAGCCAGGCCCTGCAAGGACAAGAGCAGCCTGCAGGCGCACACGGTTTCCCTCCCCCCTAGGATGACCTGCTGCGGGACCTGGACAGCTTCTTCTCCTCCCCCATGGACTTCCGGGACCTTCCTAGGAACTTCCATCAGGAAGAGAACCAGGAGCACAGAATGGGAAACCACACCCTCTCCAGCCACCTGCAGATAGACAAGGTGCCTCACCAGGACGGCCCTTCGGAATTCCCACCACTCTTTACCTGACAGGAGGAGGAAAGGTGAGGAGGGAAGCAGGTTTGCTCTGACTCTTGTATAATCCTCACAGATGACTGACAACAAGACAGGGGAGGTGCTCATCTCTGAGAAGGTGGTGGCCTCCATCGAACCAGAGGGGAGCCCGGAAGGTGACTGGAAGGTAAGGACCCATCTTGCTTCCAGGTAGCCAGGAGTCGGCGTTTTTCTATAGTTAAGGAAGTCCTTTGTGCCATACTGCTCTGGTTTCCTTTCTGTTGCTGTAATAGAATATTTCAGCCAAAAGCAGTGTGGGGAAGGAAAGGGCTTATCTGGTGTACGCCCATCACTTAGGGGGACTCATGGTTTCTACTGTCAAAAGCAAACAGAGAAAGAAACATCTTCGCTTGCTTTGTCCTGTCTTAGGTGGTTCAGGACCCATTGCCTAGGTAATGGTGCTTGCGGCCCACAAGGGGATGAGTCTTCCTGCGTCAGTTAGCGACATTGATGTAGTTAATTTCCTGTTCCGAGTGTCTTCCCAGGTGATTCTAGGCCGTGGCAAGGTGGCATCTAAAATTAGCCAGTGCACACTCTGTACACGGAATATCTTCAAAATTTCTGGGGCTCAGTGTGACGTGTGTGAAAAGGGACAGGTCAATAGGTGTGATTGTAAACACATGTGATCCCAGGACTTGGAAGGCTGAGGCAGGAGGAATGCCACAATTTTAGGCCAGAGGCAAGAGGATCTTTGCAAGTTGGAGGCCAGCCTGATCTATAAAGCAAATACCTGGCCAGCCAAGGCTACGTATCAGGACCTGTCTCAAAACAAATACAGAAAGCCTACTTGTAAACTTCAGAGAGTTTTAGAGTCTCCACCAATCGTAGAAACACAGAGCACATCTCAGAGATGTTTTGTCTTGATTCAGTTTGGGGTCCGTGTACACACATGGGGATGCCCAAGTAGCTGAGTGTCTTCCTCAATCACTCTCCACCTATGTATTTGTTTCCCTTTTTATTGTTTTTGACACAAGGTCTCCTTGTGAACCCTGGCTGACCCCAAACTCACAGAGATTGCCCCCCTCCACCCCGCTTCCGAGTGCTGGGGTTGAAGGTGTGGGACGCCACAAAAGGCCTCTCTCTACCTTGCTGGGGTTTTTTGTTGTAATTTTGTTTTTTGTTTTTTGCTTTGAGTCAGGAGTTTCTCACCGAATCTGAAGCATCCACAGTGCAGCTAAGCTGGCTGACCATCAAACTCCAGGGACCCTCCAGTCTCTGCCCTACCCCAACCCCGGAGTGGCCATTGCATGCAGCTCCTGGCTATCCCGTGAATGCTGGGGAGTGAACTCAAGTTCTCATAGTTGGGCACAAGCACTTTACCAACGGAGCCCCTTTTTTTTTTTTTGATAGGGTGTCACTTTGTAGCCTAGGCTGGCCCCAAACCTACAGGTTACTGTGAAAACAAGCCTGCACCACCAAGCCCAACTGAGGTTAGGGTAATTTCAAAACAGGAGCTTGGCATAGACGCCAGGAATAGTCACACACCATGTTTCGTTTGGTTTGGTTTTTTGAGATAGGATCTCTCTATGTAGCCCTGGCTGTCCTGGAACTTGCTTCCTATTCCAGACTGATCTCCACCTCTGCTTCCCAGATGCTTGTTTTAAAGGAATGTGCACCTGGCATAATTTCAGGCTTTTTATTTAGAGCGACCCAATATTTCCACCTTTACCTTCCAAATGCTGGGATTGCAAATATGAACCACCACACCAAACTTAATGATTTCTTTTTTGTTTGGTTTGGTTTTCTCAGACAGGGTTTCACACAGCTCTGGCTGTCCTGGAACTTGCTCTGTAGACCAGGCTGGCCTCAAACTCACAGAGATCCACCTGTCTCTGCCTCCCAAGTGCTGTGATAAAAGACATGTGCTACCACTGCCTGGTATTTGTTTTGTTTTGTTTTTCAAGACAAGCTTTTCTTCCATGTAACCCTGGCTGTGCTGAAACTTGCTCTGTAGACCAGGTTGGCCTTGAACTCCCAGAAATTTCCCTGCTGCTTCTGCCTCCCAAGTGCTGGCATCAAAGGTGTACACCATCCCCACCCAGCTAATGCGTTTGGTTAAGAGAACTGGCTATTTTCCCAGAGGACCCAATTCCCAGCTCAGTTCCAGGCACCCGTATGGCAGCTCACAACTGTAAACCCAGCCCCAGGAGACTAACACCCGCACACCAATATACATAAATAAAATGAAGTAAATTATAGAAAAGAAAATTTAGCCACACAATGGCCAGATGAGTTACATGAGCCTGTGAGACACCTGACATGGGTGTTGGGAACCCCTCCTAGCGCACCGCTGATTCGTGCAAGTGATGCGCATACTTAGCATGTAAACATAAAATAAATCTCCCAGGTAATAGTGGGAGTTTAAAAACAAACTTGTGTGCTGGAGAGACAGCTCAGTAGTTAATAGCACGGCTGCTCTTCCAGAGGATCCGGGTCCATTTCCCAGCAACCACATGGCGGCTCACAGTTATAACTCCAGGTCCAGGGAATCTGGTATCCTCACACAGACATGCATAAAGGCAAAACACTAATGCACATAATAATCTTTAACAAAATAAATAATAAAAACTTATTACACAAAGAATGCAGCAGGCCAGACAGAAAACAGAACTGCCAGCCCCAAAAGGGTTTTTAACCCCAAAGCACCAAGTGGGCTGAGATGTAGGCTGAGGCGTTCCAGTGTCTTGGAAGTGCTGTGTGACACTTGACCAGGATCTCCCTGCGCCTCCTTCACAGGTGCCCAAAGAGGAGGAGAAAGAGGCCCTGCCGCCAGTGCAGAAGGCCATGGACGGTTTGCACCCAGAGCCCCGGAGGGTGTCTTTCTGGATCATGAAGCTGCCGAGACGGAGGACCCAGCCAGATGTCCAGGATGGGAGCCGCTGGCTCATAGAAAAGCGACATCGCCTGCAGGCCATCCGGGATGGGCTCCGTGGTGGTGCCCATGAGGACAACCTCGAGGAAGAGGCCCATGTCCCCCAACACATCAAGCTGCCTATACGAAAGACACACTTTCTCTACATCCTCAGGCCATCCCAGCAGTTATAGGGTGGCAACCAGATGTCCCTGCATGTCCCTCACCCTACCCCAGCACCATAAGGAAATAAACTTTTTTCTTACATCTAGCACTGTCTCCTTTTGGTATCCGTTCCCAACCAAGCCACAGTAGCCATTCCCTCTAACGCAGACACTCAATATGTCACGTCTGCTGCGCGGCCTGTGTCCGAGAACGTGCGGAGGGTGTCGGGTATTGATAACACAGAGACTCGTTCAATGATATAAAGAGAACTTTAAACAGGCTCCAAAAAGGTTCAAGAAAAACTTCCTAAGAAAGGCTCCCACCAGAGAAGCCTCTGCTCTCTCCTCTCCCCTGGCTGGTTCTGCTCTGACACCAGAGGTGGATGTGTGTGGGTTTCTGAAGGTGCGGTTAGTCTTTGGACAAGGTCGAGGTCAGGGCGGTTTCTGTGGGAAGGCCTTTCCCAGGAACTTATTGTATCATTTTTAGTAAACATGTTTTTACTAAACATTGTCTTACAGCTGCCTACTCCCAGGCAGAAGGGGAAGTGGCCAGGAACTTATTGTATCGTTTTTAGTAAACATGTTTTTACTAAACATTGTCTTACAGCTGCCTACTCCCAGGCAGAAGGGGAAGTGGGTCTCTGCTCAAGGTCTGGTGTTCCCACAATTCACCCCTTTTTATTTTTAAATGAGGCACTCCTGGCTTAGGTCAAGTAGGTCACCCTCCCTTTCCCGTCTTTGGGGGACCTTGAACCCCTGTTTTAGGTGGGAGGGGTCTTCCCCACAGGTTGCCCGTCATCGGAGATACCCCAACCTTAAATCATCTGTAACCAACCTTCATGGCTATCGGGATTGCCATGGGCTAAGCTAAGCAATACTTGGTTACGGATCTCTTGTCTCTGGAACAAGGCACGTTTGAGCTTGGCATAAAGCCAGAATGCCTACCGCCACTGCCACCATTTCCAGGACCCCCATTGACATAGCGCCTCTCCATCACCATACCCATCACCAGATCTGGGCCATAACATTCTACCAGCCTTCGTCTGTTACAAGGGTAACCCGCATGTGATTTACATTTACAATTTGATAAAGTTTCCAATCGTTTTAAGATCTGCTCAGGAAAGCATTTAGAGAGTGCACTTGCACAGATACATTGGGCACAATCATTGACGTTACACATGTAGCATTATGAAAAATATGAACAATAGTTGTCACATTAGGACAAGTTGCATTTCTCCAGAAAAATACACTGGCCTAGGCGCGATTTCAGAAACAGGAACCACCAAGTTTGATATTTCAAGTGACCATGTCCTGTTCAAATACTGAAAAGAGGCTTTTGCCACTCATAGTCCATACCAATGTCCAAATGCTTTAAATGGGTCCTTTTTTCTCTGTTGGCTTCACGATGAAAACTCATGGGTCTGGAAGGTTGATGCAGCAGGTCTGTTGAGAAACTGGAAATCTCGAACCAACTATTTTCTTTCTTTCTTGGGCTGTAGATTCGATGACATCAAGGGTCAGGAACACTGATTTAGGAGATCTCACTCAAACTGGCTTAGGTAGGCTCCCATGGTCTCAGGTCCAGTTTTTCTCTGCTCCATGCATCTCACTAAATGGTCTGACAGCTGCCGAAGCTTTATTCTTTTCCTACAAGAAAACACAAACATGCCCTCGACCCCAAATTAGGGTCTTCTCCACTGTCTAGTGTATGGATGTCTCCATTTGATCTGAGCAATGGTTGCTCAAGTTCCATCATGCCAGAATCTGTCTGAAGCAATCTGTCTGAAGCACTGGCATTCACATTATAAAATTTTTAAATGAGGAGTGTATTATTTGATGAGTCATGTGGGGACTGGGGACATTATTCCCCCTTTTTTATTTTCTAAAAAAATTTTCTTTTTTGAACTGTTGAAGCTGGACCATAACAGTAGAAGGATTTGTCTACCCTCCTTGGTTAACTATCTAGGTAAATTGGGCTTACTAAATAACTTTTGAAAATTATTTGAAGTCTGTGAGCAGTCTTTCCCAATCTAACCTGTAGAACTCTCACTAGCTGACAAGGCCTCATTTGTATCTTAAATTTTTCTGTTAAAACATTAACAGACTGGCTGGATGTTCCTTTTGGCTATATTTAACGCAATCTAGGTAGCTTCTTAACTATTTTTGAAGGGATTTAAGTATCCTTTTAATCATATAAGCAGTTCACACTCACACATTCGCAATCACATTTCATACATACCGGTGTGGCCACACCATACATTCAGAACATACATGCATCTTTCAGTCATCCTTTTTCCCTAGGTCATGATTAGTCTGTTGCAATGAAGCTTCCTTAATTGAAATCTATGTAAAAGAACAACTCCAGCCAATCCTTGAACTAAAAAGGTTAAAAAGTCCTATATGTTTTTATCATTCCTCCATTTGAGCTACAGTCATGGGGTACAGCCGTACCTACTCCTTGTAACTCTGTAGATGCAAGGTAGAGAGGCCAGGCTTTTGGCCAAAAGTTTTTAGAGATGACTCACAAAATAGAACTTAAATGTAAACAAAATTTTCCATTCCATATACCTTTGTCTTTTTCTTTTTCTTTACTTAATACCAGTACCTCTTTTACTGTTACCAAAAAAAAATTTTTTTTTGAGTCAGGGTTTCTCTGTATTGTTTGGAGGCTGTCCTGGAACTTGCATAAAGGTGTGTTGGGATTAAAGGCGTATGCCGCTGGGAATCTCTTGGATTCCCCTACTTCCTGACCCTGGTATCAGGCTTAGGAGGGGAAACTCAGAATGTCTAGTTTCTGACTTTTTAATCTCATTGGCAGCAGCCGCTTCCAATGTATTATTGGTGTTATAAAAATTGATGAACAGGGAGCTGGAATGACTAACTGGCATCAACATGGGAGGAATCCTCACCAACGCCCATATTTCACTTACCTGAGTGTTCAGCAATGGTTGGATCTTTATCATGGTGAGCATTCCTAGTATCCGGAGTAGTATTGGGGTCGACATGCCTGATGCACCGTTCGGGGACCCAAATGGGCTTCTCACTTCCTGGAGGGAAAACACAAACAGCCCCTCGGACCCTAGCTAGTAGGGGAGTGGGTGGCTGCCATTTTCCTGTAATCAAATCCTTCCATCTGACCCATCCCAAGGACTGGGAGGGTTTGTTCCAATGTCTCTCCATAGCAGACAAATTATTACGGTCTACGGTCAAAAAATTTAAAATGTAAAGTATGGTGGATAACTGAATATTGGGGGAGGTAACATACTCCCCCTTTTTATTTTCTTAAAATACTGTTTGAGAGTGGCATGGGTGCGCTCCACAATAGCCTGTCCCGTGGGGTTGTGAGGAATACCAAATGAATGGACAATGTGATGTTCCCTGCAAAAGGCAGCAAAGCGATTGCTGGCATAGGCAGGGCCATTGTCCGTTTTTAGGAGCATCGGAGTACGCCCATGTAGGCAAAGGCCTGTAGGCAATGAGAAATAACATCTTTAATCTTCTCTCCTGAGTGGAGAGAGGCAAAAATCAGTTTAGAATACGTATCCACAGAGACATGCATATATTTTAATTTCCCTGCCTGCGGCAGGTGAGTGACATCCATTTGCCAGAGATGGTTGCCCCTGAGGCCCCGGGGATTTACCCCTCATTGGGAGAATTATGATAAGGGGCACAATCAGGGCACTGAGAGGTAATCTGTGTAGCTATGGATAAGGGGCACCCAGTGTGAAATTTAATGGAGCGGGCATTTAGATGATACCTCTCATGGAGCTGGTGGGCCAGCTGCTCCTGAGTAAATAAGACCCTAGGGCGGGTCAAGGAGTCAGCAATTTCATTGCCCTGGGCAAGGGGTCCTGGAAGGTTAGTATGTGCACGAATAAATCCCACATAAGCAGGGTGGATGCGCTGCCAAATAAGATGTTGGAGCTGAACTAATAAGGAACGAACCTGGGAGGTTGGAAGAACATATGGAGAAGTTTCTAAAGGTCTAACAATGTTGGCAACATAAACACTATCCGTATATAAATTAAAGGGCTCTCCCTCAAACATTTGGAAAGCCATCAAGCAAGCAAACAACTCGGCGGCTTGTGCTGACATCTGCCCTATGGGTACCCTCTTCCGTACCTGAGAAGAAACCACCACCGCGAAACCCTTGGAGGAGCCGTCTGTAAAGACTGAGCGAGCTCCAACTAGAGGGTTCTCCTTTAAAATCTTGGGAAAGATCACAGGGTGTTGTTTAAAAAAAGACATCAAGGGGCTGTTGGGATATTGGTTATCAAACTGTGCGCCTGTAGATGTAATAAACAGGGTCCACCCATCATGGAAGATCTGTAGATGTTCCACCTCCTCCTTACCATAAGGAAGGATAATTTTATCAGGACTCTTTCCAAAGGTTTGAATGCTAAACTTGTGTGCCTTCCACAACAATTGTAAAATGAGATCATAGTAAGGGGTCACTACCTTCTTAGGGAGGCTGACAAATGTACCCAATAAATAGGACCAGTCTGCCAAAACACGGCCGTGGGCGAAAAGCTAGATGAAAGTACAACCAGAACAAGGGGCTGCCCATAATCTATACGCCAAAGGTGGGCTTGCTCTATACTTCTTAACAGCAATTGTAGGGCTTCCCTGGCCTCTGGGGTAATCTGTCTAGGGAAGTTGGAGCAGGATCTCCAGGAAGAATATCATAAAGCGCTTTAAGGGCCCCTGTTTTAATAGAAAGAGAAGGGCGAAACCATTGCACCTCTCCCAAGAATCTCTGCCAATCATGAAGTGTTTTTAAATTTGAACAATCAATTTGGAGTCTTTGTGGCCGGAGGCCAGTTTGTTGAATTTGATGACCCAAATAAGTATAAGGGGGTCTCTTTTGGATCTTTTCAGGAGCCAAAATAAATCCGTGAGCCTCCAGAAGTTCCTGTAGCTCTGCAAAGGCTATGTAACATTGTCTTTCTTCGGCCGCGGCCAAAAGAATATCATCCATGTAGTGGATAATGTAAAGATCAGGAAACTTACGTCTGAGGGGATCTAAACAGGCAGCTACATAAATCTGGCATATAGTTGGACTATTAGCCATCCCTTGGGGAGCACCACCCATTGGAAGCGAAGGGCA